ACAGAGGGCCCGCAATATACAGATGCCATCCCACATTGGGAGGCGGTGGCTAGCAAAGACAAAAAAGAAATAAGAAGGGGAAGAAAAAGAAACAGAAACAGAAAAAGAAGGAGAAGAAAAAGAAACAGAAACAGAAAAAGAAGGAGAAGAAAAAGAAACAGAAAAAGAAAAAGAAGGAGAAGAAAAAGAAACAGAAACAGAAAAAGAAGGAGAAGAAAAAGAAACAGAAACAGAAAAAGAAGGAATATGAAAATTAAAATCTGCCATAAGAGAAGGCATGCGCCTGCTAGTACAGGCCCGACACTAGCCGCATCATCTGCAAGTGCAGAGAGCTAGCAACGTCGGAGTATATATTGTCACATTGTGAATCAGAGCGCAAAAAAGGGGAAAGAAAAAAGGAAACGGAAAAATGGGGGAGGGGGAAGAGGTAAGGAAAGCTCCACTTGTTCATAACCTCTTACGTACAAGGCCAGCCACGTGGATGACAGGTTGAGCGCTGGCTGCCCCCATCCCCGTATATATATATACGATATATATATTTATTTATTTTTTTGGGGGGGGGGGGGGGGGGAGAGGGGGAGGGGAACCACTATCATTCTGGATTACCTAGGGCCGCTTAGCTCGATGATGACATATCTTTTTCTTTTTTTTCTTTGTTTGTTTGTTTGTTTTTTGTAGTAAAAACTCGTGTCAAATTTCTCATTGAAATACTGAGATCAGTGAGATGACGTCGGGAAACCACATAACCAATCCGGAGCAGGAAAAATACCTACTGGAAGCACTATCCAACTTAGCTTTTTTTTTTTTTTTTTTCCCGACTATCCAACTTAGCTTTTACATCTATGGTGATAATGATATATCAAGGCCGTTGCCTTAAGGGAAAAAAAACAAAAAAAAAAAAAACAAAAAAAAAAAAACCGACGATGGGCAGGCGAGGAGAGTCTCGCAAACCTCTTGCACGAGGCCAAGAATAAGGTTTTCGTGCAAACTCTGCGTCGGAGACAAGGACAGGCTCGGAACCTCGGTCCTGGAGGCAAGGGTAGGTTTGCAAACGTGGGTCGGGAGTCTGGACTGGGTCGGGACCAGAGAATCGGCAGATACCCAGCGCGCACGAGAGAGGAGAGGGCAAGGCCATCCTGATTCGGTCTTTGGGAAGAAGACGGCATTGCGAGCGGGATCCGGATGTCGGTATCTGCTACTCATCGGGAAGACGAACTTGAGATGGATTGATTGGTTGGCCGGTTGATTGATTGATTGATTGATAGATTGATTGATTGATTGGTTGATTGATTGATTATTGGTCGATTGATTGGTCGATTGATTGATTGATTGGTCGATGGATTGATTGATTGACTGATTGATTGATTGATTGATTGATTGATTGATTGATTGATTGATTGATTGGTAGACTGATTGATTGATTGGTGGATGGAATGATTGATTAGTATGGAGTCTATTGACTGGTTCTGATTGATCTGCTTGATCGATTGCTTTTTGGCTGCAGTAGGTTTTTATTTTATTACAGTAATTGGTGAATTGACTGGATGAGATTGATTTCTAGATTAGATTGATCTATATAGATTAGATTGATTTCTAGATTAGATTGATCTATATAGATTAGATTGATTT